CGCGCTTCTTTCAGCGCCATTTTCTGCTAGCAGCATCATGCGGCTGGCATTGTTAATGAACGCTGCTCCGGAGCCCTTTGCTGTCCGCTCCAGCGACTCCTTACCAGCCGTATGCATCTGCACCTCCAAGTTCGCATACTCCCTTAGTAGGCCCGTTACTGCACGGAACAGCACATTTATCATCTTTCCCTTCTTCCATTTAATTAGACCCCACTTTGGCTTGTGACGGCCCTCAGTTTCTAAATTCTCCCGTAGCTGAACGAGGAGCTCATGGCCCCGCGATTCAGGCACCAAATCCGGACAGTTGAACCAGTCCGCGGGGGTGGGTTCCCCCCCCTCCTTTAAGTATCGGGTGCATTGAGCGAACTCCTGAGCGGGGGTCAGCTTTTCTGCCTTCCAGGGAAGAAATCTTGATGCTTTAAGAAAATGACATAAGAGAAAAATCATGGTCATGGTGGTTGAATGGAGGAGCAGAGACTTTCCCAAATCTGCTCTGACCACAACAACAAACCCAGCTCCTCCAATTTCTGTTATTAGCCTGTGTAGCTCCTTTTGTCTGTGACTGCAGCATGGATGATACAGAAGAGTCATTTCCTTACTTAAGAGTGTCTCGGACAGCCAGAGCCGACTCGAGTTGCGTTAGAAATTGGTCGTACGTTAGGGCGGGCTGGGGAATGGAGAGGCAGACACAACTTATCGGTTGCAAAAAACTTTACTCACGCCGCTTGCAATCACGACGCAGGTGGTCCGGTCGTCTGAACAACCACACGAGTTGTTCCAGCTGGCGGGGCCCAAGCCAGTTAATCCGTCCGCAATTCAAAGCCGGGGGGAAAAGTGTACGTCTGGGATTGCGCTCGGCGATGGGAAGAAAGATCGATAGGTGATCAGTCTATCGATCAGCTAGCCGCAAGTCAGATCTCTTTAGAGGCACTCTGCAGCGTGCTCAAAGTTCTTCGACTTGGGCGGAAGTTGCGCGGAATTTTAAACGGCCAGCGAGCCAATTACTAGCCGCCACGTGTGAATAATTTAGCACTGGCCAATAGCGGGACACAAATTTGCATTCGAATAGCGGGAGCTCTTTGCACCGTGCATTTCTGTACTGCAAGGAAGAAATGCACCCTGCAAAGAAGGCTGCAAATTGGCGGGAACTCTCTTGCACCGAGGTTCCTCTGTGCAGCAAAAACCCTCGTTGTGCAAGAGGCTCTCATGTGGCAAGAAAATCCCACTGTGCCGAGGCACCAAAAATCACTGGGTTGTGATAAAGAGGAGTCCACGGTAGTAACTGCTGAGTCTGCCATTGGAAAATAGGGAAATAATGGAAAACCCCATCCCAGATGTAGTGCTGATGACTGTGGGTGGAGGAAGACTGTGTACTGAATGGCAAGCTTAGAGAGCCCTGAATGATGACAGGAGGGCAGGGAGTCAGCACCAGAAAGAGGAAGATTAGAGAAAATTTCCCCTCTTTATATATGAGCATGATCATGGGAACGCACATGACTGTGCCCTCCACCAACCCACCCTCACTACTCCAGTGCCTTCCAGTTGCTCCATCTGTCCACTCTGATTTCTCCACACCAGGCCTGTTCAGCTGGTGGTTTGTATATTGTTCAGTTGAGGTTCTTTCTAACATTTAAAGCTTTGATTTTTATGCAGCCATGCAAAAATTTTAACTTAGTATTGAAAGTTGTCAAAAATATTCTCTAAGAGATTTTTTCTCTAGGTTTGAACAATAAAAGCTTCATCTGAGTCAGTTCCTGTTGTACTCAGTAAGGTAAAAGTAGGGCACTCATGTTAATGAAAACTGGAGGGAGAAATGAAGAAACTGGCAACCACAGACACCTATTCAAGCACCTGAAAATTATAACTGAGCAACTTATCCCTTCACTAGGTTCCTTCCCACCACTTAGCTACTTCCTTTTCCCAGGTTCTCCACTTTTACCACCACTTTGAGAAGTCTACGGACCCCAGAGCGATGGAGATGGTGAAACCCCCAAATAGTCATTCTGGTTACAAAAGGTTTTGACTCCTTCCATCTTGGTAAAAATATTCTCATGTCCCAAACGGTTAATTAGTCCTAATGTATCACTGTAAAAAGGAGACATTGATCCATGATGATTTTTCAGTACCTGGATGGCTCATGATTCTTCTCTGAAAGCAAATGGAAATAGGAATGAAAACTCGTCCTAGCAAAGGTTGCAGCAAAAGGACTTTTGGATGAAGACTGAAGTAATGCTTGATAGCAATGGGAAAACTCTTAAAGACCAAACAAAGCCATTGTCCCTTTCTGCCTTTGCTTCTATCCAGACACCATATATCAAAGTGGTGCTAAGCCACAATGTCCTGTTTGACTTCTCACCAAGTTTTAGTGACGAAACAGCATTTTACCTCATCCTCCTAGATGAGGAATTGTCTGACAAATTCCTACTTGGGTCACCAACCAGTTGGATTAGTCTAATCCACTATATCAGAGCTGACAATGAACTCTCTTGAGTAGTACACAATGTCGTCGCCACTCTCTTTTCATTGCTCAGGCTATTATGAGCACATAAGACATGCTCAGGTCCCTATTCCAATTCACAGTTGGCTTCCAATGGCAGTTTAGGATTTAGGCCTTAATCAAACATCAACTACATTAATGGCAATATTTCAGTTGTGAGGGACCGCAACAGCTGGTGAGCACAAATCCCAGGAATAAATTGATGACAGCTGTGGGCAGAAGCAATGTGGCTGAGGTAATGTTGCTCTAAAACAAAGTTTAGAAATGAACTTAGAGCCTTGGTCATCCCTAGAAAGGTCTATAAAACCTTGCTGCCCAGAAAGTCTTTTCAGTACAGCAGGACCTGAACTTGGAGTGCTGACGCCTCCTCCTCAAAAGAAACAAGGAACAACATTGTGTCTTATTTCAGGGGCGGTTTTACCCATAGAAGAGACAGAACTAGGTACTCTATGAAGTCCATAAGTGTCATCACTGTTTAGCATTTACGCATAAGGAGCAGACAGTCAGCCGAGGGGCAGGATAACAGCAGGAGATGGAGAGAGATGAGAACATGGATATATT